TTATTTTAGTTTTATTGGGGAACAGTGTGTTTTTCCCAGGACCCATCAGCTCCAAGTCAAGTTGTTGTCCTTCAGTCTTAGTTGTGGAGGGCACAGCTCAGCTTTAAGTCCAGTCACCATTTTTTTTTTCAATCCAGTTGTGGGGGGGGGCACAGCCCACCATCCCATGCTGGAGTCGAACTGGCAATCTTGTTGTTACGAGCACGTGTTCTCACCAACTGAGCCATCTGGCCACCCACTGGCAGCTCAGCGGCAGCTCAATGGCAGCTCAGCTTACGTCATTGTCTTCAGTCTAGTTGCAGAGGGCGCAGCTCACTGGCCCATGTGGGAACTGAACTGGGAACCTTGGTGTTCAGAGCTCGCACTCTAACCAAGTGAGCCACTCGGCTGCTCTGTTTTTGTTTTTCTTTGAGAACTTTGTGGGGAGAGTTGTGCTAAGCGCTGTGTTCTCTATGGTGATCTCTTTTGCCCTTGACCACAATCTACTAGGCAAGCATTATTGTCCCCATTTAGAGATGAGGAAAGAAAGGCACAGGGAGGGGGTGACTGAACCTACAGGGGCGTGATTCCTGGCTCCTCAGGTGCTTCCACGACACCCACCTAGCAGGTTTAATGCCAAGGGTAATGGACTTTATATTTTTCCAGCTATTGGCGTTTTTGTATCCTATGAATTTCTTTTCTATGTACAATTCCTTTTTTTTTTTTTTTTCATTTAAAAAGATTTCCAGATCTTTCTTCTAGGCTGCTAGTCACCAGACTAAAAGTATGTCCCAGTGTTCCAAGCCCAGAGGGGTGGGCAGAGAGACCCTGGAGTGACGAGTTGAAAATCACACCAAAACTCAGAGGCAGTATTTGAAGAAGCCTGCAGGGGGCAGCAGAGAGGAGTGTCTGAATGGACGCCCCGACTCCAGTTTTCAGGGACCTTGTTTCCTGGACACCCCTTTAGCCTAGTTGTAAGAGGACAGGTCCAACGAGGACCCAAAAGGGAACGTGAAGGAAGACCCTGAGTTCCAGCTATTGTAGGGTGAGCAGCTTGAGCTTCCTGATCTTAGGGATGGGCTTGAGAACCCTTCAAAGAAGGAAACCGCAGGTATCCGCCTTCACTCGCTAATTCATCCGTTCGTTCAATAAATGTCCACTGAGCTCGTGTTTGGGGACAGGCAGAGTGACGCTCTAAGAGCCAGGCTGTTCTCAACCCTGCATTACCCGCTTCAGACAAGTTTTGTTTGACCCGTAAAGTGGTTTTTGTTTGTGTTGTCTTCTGAATTGGTGGTGGCCAACATATAAAAGCCAGGAGGTTTCGTATGAAAATATGTTTTTCTGGTGACTTCTGTTGAAAAGGCAGGTGTTCTGGAAGCCCAGGGCCTGCATTCCTACACGGGACCTTCAGGTGATCTGAGAAGCAGCCTCCTCACCCCCACCCCCACTCCCTATGGTCTTACACCCCTGCCGCTTCATGCTGAGAGGCCCCCCGCTGGAGTTTGAACCTTGGTATTTTATCAGTGGGGACATAGCAGACCCAGAGAGAGCAATAGCATGCCCAAGTTAATTCTTGAATTGGTGGTAAGGTCTAGGTTGGAACTCGGGTCACCTGAATCTCAATCTGACGTTTACAACAAATGCAAGTTGGGCGGCCGGGTGGCTCAGTTGGTTAGAGTGTGTGCTCTTTAATAACAAGATTGCCAGTTCGATTCCCACATGGGCCAGTAAGCTGCACCCTCCACAACTAGACTGAAGACAACAGCTTGACTTGGAGCTGATGGGTGCTGGAAAAACACACTGTTCTTCAATAAAGTTTAAAAAAAATGAAAATAAAAGTAAATAAATAAAACAAATGCAAGCTAATATCAATATTGATATTATCCTCTGTGTGTTCCTGAAAGAGGGGAAACCTGCATGGAGGCTGGAGAAGGGTCTCTTTGAAACCAACCCTGGCTTTTAAGAACCTCCCTCTGAAGGGTCTCGCCCTCCCCCCGCAGGTCCCCATCCTATAGCCCATCACCCATCAAGAAAAAGAAGAAGAAAAGTTCCAAGAAACACAAGCGACACAGGTATGGTCCTTCCTTCTCAGCACACAGGGATGCCCCAGGTAGGGTGGAAGGTGGGAGGAGGGTGGATGGCACCACAGGGTCATTTGGAAGGACATCATTTCATTTATGTAAAATGTTTACCTGCGAATTGTCCACTATTTGTGTCTTATATAAGTTGGAAGAAACCAGAGGCCCACTAAGGCTCACTCAGGCCAGATTGGAATTCGATGATAAGGCAACAGGAGTGTCTCAGGGACCAGCCAGGCCTCAGGGATGGTCTGGAACCGAGGAGTGGAATGCTGATAGGACCCGAGCAGGATACCCAGCTCCCCACTCCACATGGGAGACATGGCTGTACCCTGTTCCCATCTCCATGTTGCAAGCCCAGCCACGAGAAGACAGTGAACCTCTCTGTTTTGTTGTTGATTCCAAATCCCCAGGGAAGGCCTCTCTGATTGGTCCAACTGTGTCCTAGAGGGTGGGATCATGCAAAACAGGGCTTCTGCGATTGTCTACCTGTGTGGACAGCTAAAGGGCATTCTGAACTGGACACACATTCCAAAAGGGGCCCAATATACACACATGTGCGTGCACGCACGTGTTCACACACACACACATACGTTTATGGGGGGAAAGGAAAAGACTGGAAGGATATACACCAGAGAACTCAATTCTGTGATTCATGGGCCAAGCCAACATTTTATAATTGGGAGATTTTGCAATATAAAAAATCAAGTTTCCGAGTTCCCCTGTGAAATCGGTAGCTCTGTCTTCATCGGACCAGTTTTCCCATCGGCTGGTGCTGAGGAGCTGCTGTGCATGTAGATGGAGCGTGGGTGCTCGGCTGGCCACAGGCCTCACTTAGCCGGCTTCCACATCTACGCACATTTACAAAGCCTGCTTGGCCCCTGGGGACAAGGAGTTGGAAGCTCCCTGTATAAGTTATTTGCTGTGGCCGGCTGTGGATAGGGAGAGAGTGGTTTACATTGTATTTTTTGTTTTTCTCTATTTTTCCATCTTCCTACATCAATAGTGGATTACTTGTGCAATGAATCACAACAAGACAAAAGATCAAGTTCATTTGGGTTTTCCCCTTGCATCTCACCCCTGGTTCCAAGTTGCCCCAAAGTGGCTTTTCCGAATCGAGGGGGGTGGTCACACGTCAGCCCTTGTTGCCAGAATGGTCTCACCTCAATTTGGTTTCACCAGATATGTTCACCACCAGCCCAGACATTCTGATGGGTGCCGAGTTTGTGCTGAATACAAGACATGGACAAACCAGTTAGTGAAATGTTGCTAATTTGGTGTTAGAAACCTTTGCCAACATGGCGTCCTTTGTAGAGACAATGGACCTCCCATGACTGTGGACTGCCATCTTGTCACCTTCCTAGACTGAGCAGTTTGTCCCAGGTTCGGGGACTTTTCCATATCTGGACCTTGGAAGCCAAGTGGCTTCTCACTCAAGGGTTTCTTCGCATGAGAAAAAGACTCATGCCAGAAGGTTAGAAACAGGCTCTTTCCGCCATTTCCAGTTGGCCCAGGGATTGGAGGTTTATCAGGAAGGAGGGCCACAAAAGGAGAGGTTAAGAAGGGGAAATACAGGGCCGGCCGAGTGGCTCAGTTGGTTAAGAGCTCGCTCAAGAGTTTGAGCTCTGAGCAACAGCGGTTCGAGTCCAGCCCGAGCTGAGCAGCCGCTGAGCTGCCAACAGGTAGCAGGATGGCTCAGCTTAAAAAAAAAAAGAAGGGGAAATACTGATGCCCATCCTTCCCAAACCCTCACCTACTGCTGGTCCATCTTCTCCAAGTTCCCGGAATGTTTGGTTGATGATCATTGACTTTTTTCGGAAATAGAAACTAGGGGTAGGAGATGCCTTGAGATGACTTGTTTTCTCTCCTCAAAAGTTTTCTTCAAGATTAAAAGAAACATTCCCTTGTTTCATATCTGTCTGTTGAATACCCATCATGTGTCATGAATAAGGATTCTGGGCCCCAGGAACAGAGCAGTGACCCAAACCCAGCCCCTGACCTCACGTCGCTCACATTCAAGTTGGGGAAATTCATTCCTAGAATACAAACCTCAAACTCACCTGTATTTATTTTCCTTTCTTCCTCCCGCCTTCTCTCCCTCCTTCCCTCCCGCCCTCTGTTCCTTTCTTCCTCCTTCCTTTCTCTCCTTTCCTCCCTCCCTCTCTCTCTCTTCTTTTTTCCCCTTTAATCAGGTCATTCTCCAAGAAGAGAAGGCACAGGTAAGAATCTTGTCGCCTCTGGTTACTTGCTTCCGGTGTCTGCTTTCCTAACCAGGCTCCAGGCAGTTCCTGCGCTCAGCTCTCAGTCCACACCTCTGTGTTCTTGGGCACACCCTCTTCATCTTCCTATGTCTGAGTTTCCTCCAAAATGAATGTCTGGGCTGGTGTTCCTGAAAGTTGCAAGCCAGCTTTCAAGGTCCATCAGGCCAGATGATTGCTCCTGACCCAGCCCCTCCCGAGGGCCCTCCCTGGGAAGCCTCCCTACCCCTGCCAGAGTCTGTTTGTTTTCCCACTGATGGAAACCTGCAGAGGGGGGTGGGGACCTGGAGAAATATCAGCCCCAGCCAGCCCGCCAAAGCCTTCCCAGGTCCTGGCCAAGGGACAGAGGCCAAGCCCTGCTGTGCTGGAAACACGGGGTGAGCACAAATAAAGCTGTCACCTGTGGGCACTCCCTATAAATTGGATCCTGCGCTAAGCCCTTAACACGTGTGTGCATGTTTAATCCCCATTAATCCTCATGACCACCCGTGCGGTGGATATGTTTATGATTTCCATTTTACAGATGAAGAAACTGAGGCTCAGATAGGAGATGGGACAGGCATGCCCACAGACACACAGAAAGGGGCAGAGCCAAAATTTAAACCCAGATTTCTCAGACAGGATCAGGACACCCTGCTGTGGTTTCTTAAATAACAATAGCCACAGCTAGAGCAGCTGGGAGAGTGCAAAGCCCTTTCATTCATTCAATTAACAAGTAGACAGTAGGTTACCAACCTCATCCATCCACTCAGCCCAACAGCCTGAGCAATGGAAACTGGGACTCCGAGGAGACAGGTAACTTGCCTGATGTCACACAGCAACGATACAGTGGAGCTGGGATGTGAACTTGGGACTTGCAGTGAGGTCCTGGGCTCTTTCACTGCCCAGGCTGAGTCCCAGACATGGAGACAGATCTCGGCTAATGTCCGGCTTCGATTTCAGTTGGATGAAATCAATGTTCCCATTCCCAGGACCTAGGCCAGTCATGCATTCTCGGTGATCCCCTGAAGCCAGTCTGACTTGAACCACCAAATGGTGTTCAACCTTCAGGGGCCTCGATTTGATTACACTGGAACCCCAAGTCATTATTGTCCATTCTATCCATACCCCAGCCCTCTGACTTAAAAAACAACAACAACAACAAAAAACGATAAGACCCAGATACTTGAATATTCGTGGGCAGAACATTTCAGAATCTGCCAAGCTTCGCGAGGCTTCAGAATAAATAGCTCCTTGAAAATTCCATTCTCTTCTCTTAGAAACTGATGAAACATCCGTCAACAGCACCGGCTTGGGAGACCCACGGTGAGATCAGAGCCCAGCTCATCTGTGTGACGCTGGGCACGTTTTTTGGGCTCATCTGAGGCTCGGTTTCCACATCTGTAAAATGAGTGCTTATTACATCGTGCCTCTACCCATAGTTTGCAGGGAGAATAAAATGAGATGATTGACAAAAAGATTTTTAGTAGCATGACCACCCTATAATAGAGCCTCGTAAGATGTCAGCTGTTGCTCTTAGCTTTATGTCTGCTGTTCTTATTCAGCTACCAAAGCTGACCTTGGCATCGCACTCGCCCCATTCTCAGTCTGTACGTGTGGGTCGTGTCTCGAGCTCAATTTGCTCGGTCAAAAATTCAGCAGCAACTGCTCTGGTCTTGGAGATGATCGGTGTCCATCCGCGAACTGTCCGGGTCCCGTGGCCACTGTGTGTGAAGCATTTTAACTACTGATTTTATTTTTGTCTTGAACTGGAATTTGGCTGTTTTCAATTAATTGGCCATTTCTCCTTTAGTTCCACCAGCCCAAAAAGCAAACGAAGGGAAGAGAAGAGGCACAAAAAACAGTAAGTAGCAACCACCAGGAATGTTCTGTCCCCTTTGGGGAGGCAGGGGACCTGGCTTCTTAACAGCCAGAGTGTGAGGGGTGCCTACCAAACAGGAAAAGGGAAAGGGAGGGAAGGAGGGAGAGAGAGACAGAAACGTGTGTGGACTTGCTATGTGGGCCTGGGTATGTGTGAGTGCCCAAGCTTGTGTGTATGATATGTGAGTGTGCATGTGTGTTTGTGTGTGCATGCAAGTGAACGGTGCGCATCGGTGTACGTGGCGTGCCCACTGTATGCGAACCCTGTGTTCCTGTGCGTGGATTGTGTATTTATTTGTAGGTAGCATGGGGCGTGCACATTGTTTGTAAATATCTATACGTTTTTCCATCACACAAAGATGTGTGTGAACTGTGTGCACAAATTTATTATACAGCGTGGGTAAATGGTGTGTGTAGGGGATATATATTTGTGTCCACATGAATGCATCATGTATGCCCGTGCTTACGTGAGTATGCATGTGTGCAGTGTGCATGTAGATGCACCGCCTGTCACCCTGTGTGAATTCTACGCACTCTGCATGTGCACTGTTTATGGATCTGTGTGCATTATGCATTTGGAGGGTGGGGGTGGCTTTTACCTGTGCCCATGTGTGTGCTGTGTGTGCACGAGTAGTTAAGGGGGCATGATCGTGTGCATGCACATGCGTGAGCGTGCGTGTGAGTCCGAGCCCTGGCTGCTAGGGCTTAGGGCATGGGGATATCAGTGCAGCTCCTGCCTGCGTCTCGGAGCCCCAGCTGGTTCACGGTTTATCGCTGGTAGTAGAAATTCAAATCAGCCAGCACTGCCTACGGAGTTTAGTTCCCAGCCAAATTAAAAGTAAATTTGGTTACAACCCACCTACTTTATGCCCTGCAAATGTTAGTGCGTGTGTTTTCCAATTAACTAATACTTTATCTCCTGCTAAGAAGCTTCTAAAGTGAGGGTCAAAGGTGATGGGATGAAAGGAAGTTGGTTGCCGGGGAGGGGAATAGGAGGCAGGGGCTCAGAGGGAGGGCGTTCAGCTTTGCTGCTCCGAAGGGTCTCTTCACCCAAGGTCAGTGCAAACGAGGGCACTTCAGCCACTACCACAGGGCCTGGAGAAAGCTCCAGAAGGAAGCAGTAGAACTTTGAGTTAGCTCAAGGAAGAACTTCCCAATCATTGCGCTTGTCCAATTCAATCAAGAGGCAATTATCGGTCATATGTATTGCATATGCTTTCATGCTAAGCACAGTGAGACTGCATGTTTTCTGAGTCCTCAGCATGACTTGTCTAGTGGGGTTGTGGTATAGACACCCCCAGAGCCAGGGGCTGGGCTCAGACCCTAAGAGCACTGGGCGGGATCAGCCCTGAGACCAGGACTGCCTGCCTAAGGACAGAAAGGTGGTCGTCTTTCCCAGTGCCAAGAACTGGATGAGTCCCAGAAATTGCTAGCAGGACAGAGAAAGGTCACAAAAGCCAAAAGCAAGGATCAGGAGAGGGAAAAGCAAGAAAAACAAGGCCCCCCTGAAAATAAAGGGCAGTTATACTTGCCAAGTCCCATGTCAGGGCTGCCTCTAAACAATTGAGCACTGGAGTGAGTTCACTGCCTTTTATTCAACATCCGTTAGTGAGGCCCAAATGTATGGCAGGCCCTGTGATGGGCCCAGGACAGAGGTTAACCAGGCATTCACCCAGCCTCGAGGAGCTCACACTGCAGTGGAGCACAGGAGACAGACGCAGGACAGGTCACAGCACAGCGGTGGCAGATGAAAGTGCGGGGTGCAGGGGAAGCCCTGGTGCTGGAAAGAGGGCTTGGCGGTGAGGGGAGGCTTCTCGTAGGAAGGGTTTCTAGGCTGGGGGTGAGGATGGAGGGGACCATTCTAGGCGGCAGGTGAGGCAAGTGTTTTCAACTTTCTGTGCCTCCGTTTCTTTTTCTGTGAAATGGGAATAAGAAGAGAACCTGGGCTGGCCGAGTGGCTCGGTTAGTTAAGAGTTGGCTTAAGAGCGCGAGCTCTGAGCAACAGGGCCGCCGGTTCGAGTCCCACATGGGCCAGTGACGCTGTACCTGAGCTGAGCTGCCGCTGAGCTGCCAACAGGTGGCAGGATGGCTCAGCTGGTGAGAGCACATGCTCCTAACAAGACTGCCTGTTTGATGGTGGGCTACGCCGGCCCGCAACTAAGACTGAACTCGGTACCTTGAGCTTAGAGGCCACGAGCTGCCGACGGGAAGCCAGATGGCGACTAGCGCCCTCCACAGCGAAGACTGAAGAACAACAGCTTGGCTGGACCCCTTCCCCGATTCCCCAATAAAATCTTTAAAAACAAAAAAAAGAGAACCTACTTCATAGGTTGTGGTGAAGACTTAGATGGGCTCATTTAAGGAAATGCTTAGAACACAGTGCCTGGCACACAGTATGTGTTAGATACGGGTTACTTACCTAGCATCGTCGTTATCGCCGTCGTCGTCATGAGAACATCGTGAACTGGGACATGTGTGAGCCAGGATACAGGCAGTTCCTGAGTTGCTTGAACCTGCTTGAGCCTGCCAGGCCAGCTAGGCGATATCAGGCAAGGAGGCGGGAGCGCTAGGCAGGGGGTGACTGGGATTCAAGGTCAGAGTTTGGACTGAGAGCAATGGGAGTGTTTTAAGCATGGAAGGGACGTGGTCTGATGATCACATCGCAAGAATCCCTGAGTCCTTTGTTGGGACAACCTCCCAGTAGAATCATCTCTAACTCCCACTGGCTTTCTCAGTGACCGCTGCCACTGCCACTTCTGAGTCATTGCTATTATTTAGGGGGCGCGGAAGTAACCTGTGAGGATACGTTCTAGTGGTAGTATTGTCATTGTTGTTATTGTAACTCGTGTTGTGGAAGATGTTTGTAACTCACCATGAAAGTGGGCTGCAGCCTCCACGCTAAGACTCTCGGCTTAATTTTCCAGGTCTGAGGTTACAAATTGGCAGCCCAAAGGCCTAATTTACTCTGCAAATGTGTTTTGTTTGCCCCCAAACAGTGTCATTTTTAAAAAATGAGCTTCCATTTAAAATGTTTTGAAGCTTCCATTTTTCCATAAAAATCTGAATGTCTACATGTGCTTGAAAAATCAGAGGGTGCAGCGTCCCGCCACTATGCTGGGCAAAGCCGCTCCTGTCTTTCACCTGCACCCTTCGGCTGCTGCTTTTTTAGTGCCTGACTGATTCACACATTATGGCACCTGACTGGCCTGTGAAGCTGTCTGGAATTGAGGCTCCAGCCTTAGGTGAGGGAGAGGTGACCTGTGGAGGTGACATTCCTGTCCAGGGTGTGGTCTGCAGCAGGCCTGCTCCCAGCAGGGTGGGAGGCTGAGGTACTCCACTGCGCTCAGTACAGCTGGTTAGAGACCCCAAATACCCAAGTGGGGAGCTGGGGTGATGGGAGGAGTGAGAAGGGGGGAAAGGCTTACCTTTGCAAGGGACAGTGACAGAGGACAATGTGTGTCACAAGATCAAAATCAATCAATCTCTCTCTCTCTCTCTCTCTCTCTCTCTCTCTCTCTCTCTCTCTCTCTCTCTCCTTCTTGCCACCCCCACCCCAAGATCGCGAAGCAGGCCCCGAAAATCTCACCGCCACCGCCATCACCACTGCCCCTCGCGGTCCCAGAGCTCGGAGTCCCGTTCCTCAAGCTGCGAGAGCAGGTAACCCCTCACCCAGCCACCACCCAGAACCTATCTAAGACTGCTTTATCATGAGGGATGGCTGTCTACCTGGCACTGCTACCACTTCCCTTTAGAGAAAGGGCTGCAGACCAAAGGGGCTTGCTGTCTCCACAGCAAGGACTTGCTAACACATGTGCTTCCTAAATGCCACTAACATGGCACTGAGGTGCTAAGCACACTGACTCTACCAGCTGCATGCTTCCCTCAACCACCCTATGAAGCGGGCACTATTGTTATCCCCACTTTGAAGATGGGGAAACTGAGGCACAGAGAGGTTAAGGGACTTGCTCGTCCCTTAGCTGCTAAGTCACAGAGCTCAGATTGAACTAGGGGATCCTGGCTCTGGACTTTGCACTCTCACTACGGATTGCTGTAAGCACAGAGAAGCTAAGCAATCTATGAAAGGACACACAGCACAAACCGCCTTGTTCTAAGGCCCTTCCAAGTCAGGCATCTCCTAACCTGGACCTTCTCTTGGCTGACACATTGGCTGTCCCGGCCTGAGAAGGGGGAGGGGGGTTCTCCTGTGGATGAGAACGAGAAGAAGGAAACGGTTTTTGCAGTTGGTTGTCTAGCAGGAATTACAAGGCCTACTTGATAGTCCAGGCCAGATTCCGGATGTCAGAGACTTCTTTATTCTTTCTTAAGGGCTTCTCACACTTGGCTACATGTCCATAGCACCCAGAAAGGTTACAACGTCTCCCTGTCCTGGTCCCACTGCATCCCAGTTAAATCAGAATGTCTACAGGAAGGTGGGGGAGGAGAAACACCCATCTAAGTCGTAGTCCGTGCCAGGCACTCTGCTGCAATTTCAACTCCGTTTTCTCTCTTCATCATCCCAGCAACCCCCTGAGTGAGTCCAGGCCTTCCCACTCTGGCTGCACTTTGCAATCACCTTGGAAGCTTTGAAAAACGCCAGTACCTGGAGCTCACCCTCTAGAGCAGCGGTTCTCAACCTGTGGGTCGCGACCCCTTTGGGGGTCCAATGACCCTTTCACAGGGGTCGCCTAAGACCATCGGAAAACAAAAAGATACTTACATTACGATTCATAACAGTAGCAAAATGACAGTTATAGAGTAGCAACGAAAATAATTTGATGGTTGGGGGTCACCACAACATGAGGAACTGTATTAAGGGGTTGCGGCATTAGGAAGGTTGAGAACCGCTGCTCTAGACATTCTGATTCGAACGAGGTGGGGATTTAAAAGCAGCAAGATTTTTTTAATTTGCCCAGGCGGTGTGAATGTGGAGCCCAGTGTGAGAAGTATTGGAGAAAGAGAAAAGCAGCCCCTGACATCTGCGCTGTCACTGGTAGGCCTTGGTTCCCGCTGACTATCCAGTTTCAAAGAGCAGGAACATCAGTCAAGGCCACTGTGTGACCCTGGGTGGTCAAGACAGAGACAAGACTCCACTGGAATCAGATCTGAGCCCAGACGAAACAGGAACTATGTCCAAACCACACAGGTGACCCAGCATCGCTCCGTCCTGGCTAATGGGAGTCATCACTGCTTCTTTCCCAGCGATACCCTTGGCCTTGGTCTGCTCTCCCCTCTTTCTATATAAGATTGGTCAAGATAACCAATCAGAGAATGACCTCCACTTTCTGACAGCATCCAATCCAGAACAAGGACCCCAGTTCCTTAAAAGCGCCCCAAAGTCACCTACCACAAGAAATGGGTTCTTTCTAACACTCTCCTAGATAGATGTCCTACACGTCCCTAGGGGATACGGTCTCCCTCCAGGCAAGGAGCAATAAACCTGCTTGTTCAACCCCAGGCGTGCTCCTGGTCGCCTTTGTCTGGAGGGCATTGGCTCATTGAGCTCAACTGCATTACTGACATGTAGCAGCTGGGAAAACTGTGTCTTGGCGGGCAAAAGGGCTCTGAGCAAGGTCACGGTGACTGGCAGAGCTGGGACGGGGACCCAGGTCTATGTGACTTAGCTTGAGGCCTCCACCTCCAGCCCAGGCTTAATCAGCACCCTGTGGGTGAGCCCTGCTGGCCTGGGCTAGAGGCTGGTACAGGGGCTGCCTGCAGGCCCTCAGGGCAGTGCACGCCTCCTTCCCCCAGCTGACCTCGCAGGGAAGTGGCCAACACCACAGACCCCAACCTCTGCCCCCCTTCTGCTGTCACTTCTCGTGGTGGTATTGCTGCCTGAGCCCCCCCAGTACCTGCTAAGCTGAGGGATGCTTCTGCAGGCATGAAAGCAACCTGAGGGCTGGCCCTCAGACCACATGCCCACTGGAGGCCCCGGAGCAGAGAGGGACACTCTAGACCCAGAACCATGGGCTCATCGGTTCCTACAGAGGTGGAAAATTCTGCCCTGACCCTGGGTCTGCCCCTTTCAAGCTGTGTGACCCCAGGCAAGTTCCTAAACATCTCTGAGCCTCAGCTCCCTCATCTGTAAAATGAGAAAGTAATATCTGCCTTGTCTATGCCTTCAAGTTGTAGAGGGGACTGTGAAAGCACCTTAAGAGGTTTACAGGTGCCATGCAAATCAGTGAGGTTTATTTTTATTACTACTGTGGCTCAGAGCTAAAGGGCCATGCGGAGTCCACGCAGACCCTTTCTGAAGAGGCAGATGCCCTTTGGTTTCCGCTGCAGACAGGGCAGACACATCTAGGTCTGACGGGCTTGCAGAAAGCATCCTCATCACTTTTGTCAGCCATATTGTTTCAAAAGTTTTGGGTGACAGTCAATAAGATGCCTCCGTTTCACAGATGGCGAAGTCACGTACACAAAGACACACAGAAATATGCACTTATATTTACAGTCAAACACATGAAAACACAGATGGACGTGCCCAGACGTACACACAGTCACGTACAGACAAGACAGACAGAGATAATCACACAGCCACGGGAAGGACATTCAAGTGAATCAGGGTCGGGACCTTTCCTGTCTTCACAGCTGCATCCGCAGCCCCCCATACAGTGCCAGGTATGGGAATAAACGTGTCAGATGAATGTATGAGAGAATGAATGAATAAATGAATGAATGGGCAGGCGGGTGGGTGGATGGGTGGACGCACACATAGTTTCTATGAACACACTCAAACACAGTCTATAGTCCTCAGATCCTCTGGGTCCTTCAACTACCTGTGTGCCATGTTCCCCTTCAAAAACTCCTCAGGTCTCTCTCCCCTGACCCCAGGCACCGCGGCCGGTCCCACGAGGAAGGGCGGAAGTCCCACCGAAGGCACTCCCGCCGCCGCTCCAAGACCCTCGGCAAGGCCAGCCCCGAGGCCCGGTCCGGCCAGCCACCCAGCCAGCCCCTCCAGATGCTCAGTCTCCTGCCAGCCAGGGGTGTAGTAAGTATTTCACACAGCCTCCTCGGCCAGCCTTGGTCACAGCCCACGGGGGAGGTGGAGGCGCAAGCTCAGGGCAGTGTTTAACATATTTTAATTCAGTTTCGGGCAAATATCCCACTGGTTTCAGACCTCATTATTGATTAATCACATGGTCATTCGCCAGCCTGTGACCGCACTCGGCTTGGGGATTTGGAGCTGGGAGTGGGTGGTTAGAAAAATGAAAATACCCAGGCTTTTTATCAGGGGCATGTTGAAAACTACACATTGGTCTCCAGAGTGACATCTGCAGGGGTACATGTGCAAGCCACCATAGGAGGTTTCCTTGGGGAGAAAGGAAAAGAGGGAGTCTTTGAGGTACCAGAGGCACTCCAGCTTTTCAATGAAGTCCATCCCTTTGATATCTTTATGTCCTCTCATCTGTCCTCTCACATGTCTTGGGGGGATTGAGGGCATAGCTACTCTCACCAGTTAGTCCCTTCCACAGACGGGACAGAAAAACCAAGGATCAGAGAAGTTAAGGTCTGGGTAAAAACCACAGAGCAAAGCAAGAGCAAATGTAATACGATTTAGCAACATGGCATGGAATGGGCTCATGCCACACTCCCTTGGGCCAGCAACGAGGAGCTGGAATGTGACTTCCGATAGTTTGACACCATGAAGTTTCCTGAGCAAGGGATTTGGAGTTGGATCTGAACTCAGGTCCCAGCTTTGCCACTTGCTAGTCGTGTGGCTTTGGGAAAAAGTCATTTGTCCCACTCAATTTTCTCATCAGTAAACTTGAACTAATACCACTTCCATAGGAGCTTGTTGGGGATATCCAGTAAGACGAAGCAAGTGACGGCCTCTTGTAGACTCTTGTAGAAACAGGAGGAGATTCGAGGCTGATACAGTCTTCACAGCTGACAGCTGGGCAGGGACCTGTCTTCTCTAGTTATGAGCAAATATGAAAATTTCAGAGAGCTGCTCCCTTAGCTAGAAGGATGAGGCAGGGCTTAGGAAGAGCTCAGGGGTGCTTGCCGGGAGGTCAAGGGAGAGAAGGGGATGATAAACTCTTGTTGGGTCTGATTGACACAATAGTTTTCTGCAGGGCATTCTGGGAAACTCTTCTTTACCAGTTAAGGCACCCTATATCACCAAGGTCAAATTTTACCCAAATCCTCTGCCTAGCTGAAACCATCCAGAGCTCTCCCCAGACCCCTCCTTTGAAGAGATGACTGTGGTTGCTGAGTATTCGCGGATGGAAAATGCCCACATGAACCCTCTCCTCCCCAAGCTTCCAATGAAAGGTCTTCCCAGTAAGGCAGAGCCTAGAGGCCTGGGTTCAAGTCTCCTTGGTTTGGCCGAACCTTTGAGTCCTTCCAGCCTCAACTTCCTCACCTGGAAAATGAGCATGATTATCTCTTGTCTCCCAGGGGAAATGTTGAAAAGGTAGACATCAGTTTAAAATACGAGCAGTAAGAGGGAGAAGAATGTTTTCAAGTCAGTGAACATCACACAGTCTCCCTGGTCATGGTATTTGTAGCAACCTATTTGGTGATCCCAACTGACCCTAATTTAAAAATGCCATGGGGAGCAACTGGCTAATGTGTTTGCTCCTGCCTGGGATGGTTTCCCAACAGGTCAGGTCTGTCAAGATGTTGGGAAAAATTAAAAAGTAGGGGGTGGTTTTCACCTACCAGCTAATGAGATACCAGATTGGCTATTGGTTCTTGTAGCCTGATGACCCCAGTGGGTCGGTCCTTCTCAGAATTGCTGAAAGCTCACCCGTACCTAGAAGGCAGAGGCCTTGAGAGCTCACCTGACTCACTGCCCTGATTCCAAGAAGAGAAACTGAGATTCACATAGAGAAATGACTTCTATGGGCCATGGGAAGTCAGAGTTGTTAAAACCATGGGGTTATAATTATGTGGTCAAATCCTGGCTCTGAGCTAGGGATTGTTACTTAAACCTTTTGGGACTACAGTTTCCTCATCTGTTAAAAAAGTGAAGATGCTAAGTCTCTTCTTCAAAAGCCTTGTCATTAGGATGAAAGCAAAGTAATGTTGTAAATTGTTGAGCCCAGTGTCTGGCCCGGGGGGGGGGGCAAAACTCAGCAACTATTAGCAGCTGTTCCAGCGACAGCATTCCAGATGCTGGCTCTGCACTTACCAACTGTGGGACCTTGAACAAGTTACATAAACTTGCTGTGTCTCATTTTCCTCTAAACCTGCAAAACAAGGATAATAATGAGACCTACGTCATAAGAGGTATGTTATGAGGATTCCATGACTTAATGTGCATAAATGTTTTAGACAGCAACAGGCACATGGTAAATGCTATGTACGGTTGACGCTAATGATGGTGGCAACAGTAGTATTAACAGTGGAAATAAAAATAGTAGTAGCAATAATAGCAGCAGCACTAGTAATAGTAATGATAGTAATAGTAATACTAGTATGCTCTAGACCCAGACTAGTCAGTGGATGAGTTGGGACCAGGGCCAAGGACGTTGCTTCCCCAGGCTTCAGTGTCCTTCCATCCAAGATGGCGGCCTACATGGTTGGTCCCATCCCACTCATGGTTGCCTGACTTCTGGGGGGCATTGGATGCCCCCCAAGTCTGGTCCTCTGAGTGCTCGACCCTTTCTCATCTTCTCTCCTGAAAAGGCAGAGTTGGAAGAAAGTGGCAAGTGAGACCCAAAAATTTTCCCAGAGTCCTGGCCCCAAGATTTTCCTGAGCTCTCTGTAAAAGAGAGCAGCAAAGTCAGTGTCCTTGCATCACCCATTCAATCATTTGTTCCGATCTACCATTTATCTGCTGAGCATCTATAAAGGGTCAGCTCTGACGTGGCTCTCAAGATCCGGTGACTAAGGAACAGTCTGTGCCTTCTTCAGAGGGAGACAGGCAGGTAAAAACTGTAAAAGACAATACACAATAATGAATGCGGACGGTCAGCAGGCAGGGACGAGAATTACGGTTAGGGTAAGGTTAGGGCAGAGACGGCAACAACTAACTAGCTGAGAAACTAAAGGTGAGCAAGAGTTAGCCAAAGGAACCAGGAAATGAACACTGGGGTCGGGGATGGAGACAGAACTCCAGAGCAAGAGATGGGGTTCTGGAAATGATAGGCGCCTGAGTGTGAAGAGTCTTCTATGCCATGGTTCCTGTCACACTATATTACAGGCATTTCATATGCACAGCTCTTTAAAAGAATCAAGGACGGGTGCATCACATCAAGGGGCAAATTTGCATACATGAATATGCAGATTTGGGGTCCTGTCTTATTGAAATCCAACTTGGTGAGCTAAAGATAACCTGAAGCCCTCTTGCTAGGTTCTGAGCCCAAATCCAAATGGAGGGCCCCAAGGAGACGATTTAGGGACCCTTCACAGCCTCACTCATGTTCCTCATCTCCACTCAACCATCTCTGTTCAAGGCATTAGGGAGACAGAGAGATGAATAAAATACTTTCCCTGAATTCCAGAGCTCACAGTCGAATAGCCAACAGGATGCTGCAGTACAGTGAGATAAGTGTTGTAATTAGGGCTGAGATTGAGTTGTTGAGGACCAGTACCGCCTCAGTTGTTAAAATATTCAAATACTTGCACATCAGTTGATAAATAGACCCTGTCCCCACCCCATCCCCTAGTCAATAAAGCCATCTCTTTTTTCCCCCTGGTACTTTCTGGACCTTCTCGCAGTCTAGCAGCGAAAGAGTGATACATTGCAGCACTTCAGTACCAAGGCCAGCTACCTTCAGAAGGGGCAGCGCCTACCCTCAACCAGTTGTTGAATATTTTGAATAGCATCCCTGATGGTCAGGGCAGCGAGTACAATGTGTAGTAGGACCACAGAGGAAAAAGCAAACAATGTCGTCTTGGTGTCTGAGAGGGCTTTGCAAATAAAGGGACATTTGAGCTGGGCTTTGGAAGATGGGTAAGAGTACACCACATTGAGATGGCTGATGAATTGAGAGAGGGGACATATGCTAAGTGCCAGGCACTGTCACATACTTTATACGGTTTTTCTTTTCTGTCACCTCGTCCATAAAAACAGCTCTTTGAGGTAGATGCAATTATCATCACTATTTTTCAGATGGAAAAACTGAGGCGCAGAAAGGCCAGGTGACTCAGGCAGGTAGCCCAGTTGGGGGAAAGGGGAGTGTGATGAATTATGGCTTGTGCCTCAGAAGCTTACTCTGATCGCCAGAGGACCGATTGGATGACAGAGAGGTTGGTGGCCCCAAGCTTTGGCCAAGCCCTTTCCCTGTTGCATGTAACTGGAGAGGGAGCCTGGAAGGGGGCTGATCGAGACTCAAGCTAGACCAGGGAGAAGGGCAGGCTCCTTTTCTCCTCCTTCTGCCTCTGGCGTTGGCCAATAGTTGCCACATACTCCTTGCTTACAAAAGCCTGCACAGATGCCACAACAAAAGGGAAAAAAAGCAGAACTTGGGATCCACAGAAGAGGGTCTCATGAAATTGGTCAGCAGAGGACAATAGAGGGTAACGATGAAGACATGGGCTTTGGAGCAGATCTGGATCCTCGGGAGTACTTTTTTTTTTTTAAACCTTATTGGGGAACGGTGTGTTTTTCCAGGACCCATCAGCTCCAAGTCAAGTCGTTGTCTTCAATCTAGTTATGGAGGGCGCAGCTCACTGGCCCATGTGGGAACTGAACCGGCAACCTTGGTGTTATGAGCCCGCACTCTAACCACCTGAGCTAACCGGCCACCCCTGGATCCTCAGGAGTTGCTGATTTTGTCTCCCCGTGAGACCCGGGGTAACAGCAATAACTAATGCTTACTGAGTACCTACTGTGTGCCAGGAGCTAGGCTGAATTCCTTACAATGTCATCTCCTTTATCTCTTAGAATAGCCCTTCAAGGGAGCTTCCACGAATATCCCGATTTTTTAGAGTCAGGAAACTATAGCCTAGAAAACTTAAGTAAAAGGCAGCTTTTGAATAGAGAAGCTGAGATTCGCACCCAGAAAGGCTGACCTCAGGGTCCATATATGTAATTAC